ATATTTAAACGTTCATTTGCACACAAAGAACTAAAGCCTGAATGAGATAAGCGAGTTTTCTAATTGAGATTCACTTAAACACATTCATTTCTTGAGACTTTCAAGTAATTACGTAATTTATTTACAATTTAGTATTGTTGATAATACATTGATTTTAGAACTGTTTTAACAACATTTTAGCTATTGAATATTATATTTTAGTATATGAAAAATCCAAATTATTAGTCGTGTAATTTTATTCACAATCTGTTCACCAAATGTTCCTTTTTTTTTCATGTAATCGTCGATTTATTTCAAATTCAATTTTGTAAATATGAAACGTGTACATTGGAATCGAGGAAATTCGATCAAATATATATGATTTTATGTATTAATTAATTAAATATTGAATGAAAAGGCTGCGCGCAACGGTTTCACGTTTCAGTTTCGATATTTAATGACGAAATTCAACATTCATTTCCACTGTAATACAATATATAATTTTCACGTTAAACTTACTTTTTATACAATTTTTCTATTAAAAAATTTAACTACAAATCTGTGTCCGTAATAGTAAGAAATAGCGCCATCTATGTTGATTACAATTGATGGATTTTCTTTTATTTAATCATCAAATTTGTTTACTTCACCAAATTTTTTGTAATTTAAATTTTATAAATCAACAGGAAGAAAACATTTCAATTTTTGTTATTTTTTCTTCAATTTCAATTTAAGTTTACTAAAAATTTAAATAGAAAAACAAGATAGAAAAAGAATATTTTCAGGAAAAAAAAAATACATTAAATTTGGATGATTCTATTTCAATTTTCGCTCATAACTTCAAAAAAAAAAAGAGTTGATTAGTCGAGTGAAATTTTACGTTTGTATTTGTTTGTTTCAATTTTTGTTAAGTGAACTAAAACAAAAACTAAGTTGACTTTGAATATAAAAGTGTTTATAGATAGGAAATGCACAAATCTAGAGCCCTTGGGAATATTGTAAATAAGTTGATTAAATTTGTTTATAATTGTATTTAAATATTATTCATATATATTCTTTTGCAATTGTTTATTTCTTTGTTTTTATTTTTTGTTGACACAAATACTTTCAATCTGATTTTTACGTACTTGATTTAATTTATTCAATCTAATTATAGATTACATACATTTTAGATTTAGTGTTTTACAATTTAAAGCAAACTTTTTTCCAATTAGGAAGAAAACATTTCAATTTTTGTTATTTATTCCTCAATTTCAATTTAAGTTTACTAAAAATGTAAATAGAAAAACAAGATAGAAAAAGAATATTTTCAGGAAAAAAAAAAGACATTAAATTTGTATGATTCTATTTCAATTTTCGCTCATAACTTCAAAAAAAAAGAGTTCACTTGAAGTTGATTAGTTTAGTTTCAATTTTTGTTAAGTGAACTAAAAAAAAACTAAGTTGACTTTGGAATATAAAAGTGTTTATAGATAGGAAATGCTCAAATCTAGGAAATGCCCTTAGGAATATTGTAAATCAGTTGATTAAATTTGTTTATAATTGTATTTAAATATTATTCATATATATTTCTTTTGCAATTGTTTGTTTCATTTGTTTTTATTTTTGATGATACAAATACTTTCAATCTGATTTTTACGTATTTGATTTAATTTATTCAATCTAATTATAGATTACATACATTTTAAATTTAGTGTTTTACAATTTAAAGGAAACATTTTCCAATTAGGAAGAAAACATTTCAATTTTTGTTATTTTTTCTTCAATTTCTTTAAGTTTACTAAAAATTTAAATAGAAAAACAAGATAGAAAAAGAATATTTTCAGGAAAAAAAAAGACATTAAATTTGTATGATTCTATTTCAATTTTCGCTCATAACTTCAAAAAAAAAAGAGTTCACTTGAAGTTGATTAGTTTAGTTTCAATTTTTGTTAAGTGAACTAAAAAAAAACTAAGTTGACTTTGGAATATAAAAGTGTTTATAGATAGGAAATGCACAAATCTAGAGCCCTTGGGAATATTGTAAATAAGTTGATTAAATTTGTTTATAATTGTATTTAAATATTATTCATATATAATTCTTTTGCAATTGTTTATTTCCTTTGTTTTTATTTTTTGTTGACACAAATAATTTCAATCTGATTTTTACGTACTTGATTTAATTTATTCAATCTAATTATAGATTACATACATTTTAGATTTAGTGTTTTACAATTTAATGGAAACTTTTTTTAATTAGCAAGAAAACATTTCAATTTTTGTTTTCTCTAAGTTCACTAAAAACAAGTTTAAATTTAAATAAAAAAACAAGTAGTTTTAGATAAAAAAAAGAATATTTTCAGAAGAAAAAGACATTAAATTTGTATGATTCAATGATTCAATCTATAGAATAACTGAATGTAATTTCAATTTTAGTTCATAACTTAAAAAAAGGAGTTTACTTGAAGTTGATTAGTCGAGTAAAATTTTACGTTTATCCAGATTTCTGTATGAGTTTGTTATAATTTTTGTTAAGTGAACTAAAAAAAAAACTAAGTTGACTTTGAAATATAAAAGTGTTTATAGATAGGAAATGCACGAATCTAGAGCACTTGGGAATATTGTAAATCAGTTGATTAAATTTTCCGGTGACATAAATTCTTTCAAATGCGATTTACGAATTTAATTGATTTGATTTCTCGAGGCTAACTAGAAATAAGTTTAAAGTTAATTTATATATATATATCTAACAGGGCACATAACTTTTCGCTGAGGGTTGGATAAGAAGGGGTGGAAAAAAAAGAAGCCCTCGGGGAATATTTTAGATTGCAAATCCTCAGACGTAGCCCGCAGATAGCTAATTTCACCGTTGGCTTCTTAATAAATAAGCGCAGAGATTACCGACGAGGAGTTTTCAAATAGTTTCGAGGTTTCCGCAAGATTTTCCCATTACTCGCCAATTGCATTAGAAAGGGGGAACATTTCTGATAACGAAGGTAATCCACCTTCCTTTTCCATGACGACGACAATAACAACAGCAGAAACAAAAGAAATAATAAAGGTAACACGCGTGATCGCTTTTTGCATATCCACTCCGGTTATTATTACCGTTTGAACGAGCCATTATCAACGGATTACGCAACGCGCAAAGATTCAGCACTTAACGCAGATTTAATTGTAACATCCGTCATTACCTGACGATGAATAATTCAACGCGAGAGATGGGAATGAGTGTGTGGAAGAGAGAGAGATAGAAAAGCATTGTTTTCCATATTCCGATTTCCGAAAACAGATGTGGAGAGTCAAAAAGAGAGAATTGAAGGAACGAACGAACGTGAATTATTCCAGTCCTAACGAGTTTC